ATTTTCATTGTTCCTTCTTTAATTTTCTTGCAGCAAATTTTCAAAGAGAACTTCTCTCTCTTTTTTCTTTCTTTTCCCAGTGTGACTCATCGTATATCATAGGATTTTATGGTGCTTTTTTTGTAGAAAACAGGATTTCATTGTGTACAGAGTTCATGGATGGTGAGTTGTGTATTCAGTTTGCTTCTGATTGCTGAGAATTTAAATGGGAAAATTATATAAAGATGTGCTTTTGTCGAATGGAGTGGTATGACTTGAAAATGTGAAGTATTAATAACTTTGCAGGGAGTTAAAAAACCAGAACAGGGATTGGGATCGTGCTGAATTCTCCATGAAATGCTGCATTTTCCCCGTGTGTAACTTCCCTCACTTTTATTGAAAATGTAAATAGAAGAGAAATAAATGCTGCCTTAATTTGTGGGTTGATATTGGAGCCTTCCTTCCAATCTGTCCTCGCTGGCAAAACAGCTGTTCCTCACTCCCAGGGTTTTGATAGCCAAAACAGATTTTCTTTTAAAGAAATCTATTAACCCAATGTCCTGTGTGTTTGCAGTGGAAATAGTCTCTTAATTGCAAGACAAGGAGTTATTTTCCAACACAGCTGTTTGCCAGCTCTGTGCTGACTTTCTTTCTGAGTCTTCTCCTGATTCCTCCCCACCTGAATCCTCGGAGCAAGAGCAACCCCACATCCCCACAGGCTGTTGTTGCAGAGGTGTAGCAGCACTTGGCTTGGAAATCTTGGGAATTCTTGGAGAAAAGGGCAGGGAAAATCCCCTGATAACAGCACTTTATAATCCTTGCTGGCCTGTGTGAATGGGTTCTGAGAGCAGCTCGTGGCAGATGCTGTCCCTGCGTGTCTCGTGCTCGAGAAGCCTCTTCACAGCTTAAAACTCTTCCCATCACAAGCAAAAGTCTGTTCCTCTCTCCAGGGTTTTCTTAGGAGCCAGCATTTTATGCCCTATCCAGGTTTTTCACAGAGGCTCCTCACTTAAGCTGGGTGTAGAGGAGTAAAGATCTCCCACGTGATTTCCTGCCACAAAGCCTTTCCCTCCCCAGGAAAAATTCCCAAAGCCAAATGAAACGTCACCAAACAGCTTCTTTCTTTCTGGATAAAGCCTTTTAGGGTTTCATGGTGCATTTTGTTTTCTCCCTGTTCAAATGGCCTGTTACCACTGTTATTTCTCCCTTTTCACCCTCACTGCCTCCAGCCCAGTGATTGCTGCACCCTGTTTCCAAGCCAGGACTGTTCTCTCAGACTTTCTGTCTTTGAAAAAAGTATTTTATTCAAAAAAATCCAAGCCCCCAAGTTAAATTCTTTGCTTGTTCTGCTGCTGGGTGACTATTTGCCCTTTCTCTGATCTTCCCTGCAGTTACACTCAGACTTACAAGGCTGTGTAAAGCAGTAGTTACACACAGTCAGGAAGCATCTGCTCGTGCCAAAACGAGCATCTGCCTGGAGTTTGTCCTTTCTTTCACTTCACAGAATATTCTGAGTTGGAAGGGACCCACAAGGATCCTTTAATTCAGATATCTGTTTAAACATTATGGCCAGAACTGCTTGCAGGTCTGAATTCTTGCTTGAAAATATTTCAGCTTTTAGGGTCTGCATCCCTTATGGTGGTGCATAAATTCCTTGGAATTATCCTGGACATGACCTGCTCTGCCTCATGTTGTGCTCTCCTTCTGGCAGAAAGCCCCAGCAATCACTGAAAGGAAGAACAAAATCCAAATAAATGGACCTTGCCTTTTCTTTTCCCTTTCATTTTCTCCATGAATGTGTGATGCTGGAAGGAGAAGTTATCCCAGATATCAGATTGTGTCCCATATTGGAATTTACTGGAGTTTAACTTGCTTGCCCTGAAGGTTCTTTCATTTTCAGACAACAACCAAACCCTCACTGGTTTGATATCCAGAGAAAACAGCTTTAATTATGTATATAATGATCATACTGGGTGTCATTAGCAGCAGGTTCTAGGGACACAAGGCTTGGGATACTCTGGAATTTGAGGTCGACTCTTGCTTTTGGGGCTGATTTTGTTCTTCCCAAGGAGTTTCTCCCAGCCTGGTGGTTTGGAGTTGTCCAGTTTTGATATTCTGACCTGTGATGGGAGGTTTTCTAATCTTTTTTAACTTGTGTTTTGAGTATTAAAGCTGCAAGCAAAAATCACCAGGGGAGGGGGAAGAGCCCCCAGTGCTGTTTCTTGTGTTTATTCAGAGTTTGGGAGATTTTTGAGGTCACTTCTTTCTGACACAGTTATTGTTCTATCATTGATGGTGTTTTTTATTAATAACCAAGGCCTAGAAAACCCCTTGGGGCTTCAAATCTAGGGCAGTGTTTCATTCTGCATTACCTGAGCACGTGTTGTTTGTCCCTGCAGGGGGTTCTTTGGATGTTTATAGAAAAATTCCAGAGCATGTCCTGGGGAGAATAGCAGTGGCTGTAAGTACTTTTATTTCTTTTTACCTCTCAGTTCTTGGTTGTGCATTTCACTTATCCCTGATTTGAGTGCTCACCTGCCCTCCTTGGGACACTGAGGTCTCTCCAGGATCCGTGTCCTCGTGTCAAAGGGAAGGTCCTTCCTCTCTCCTGTGCAAGGGGACTTTGGGATTAAGGAAAACTTCCTTTTGAATGACCAACACATGGCTTGCTGGAGGTTCATGAGATAATTAGAGGGATGGAACACTTCTGCTGTGAGGAAAGGCTGGGAGAGCTGGGAATGTTCATCTGGAGAAGAGAAAGGGTCCAGGGAGAGCTGAGAGCCCCTTGCAGGGCCTAAAGGGGCTCCAGGAGAGCTGGAGAGGGACTGGGGACAAGGGATGGAGGGACAGGACACAGGGAATGGCTTCCCACTGCCAGAGGGCAGGGTTAGATGGGATATTGGGAAAAAATCCTTCCCTGGGAGGGTGGGGAGGCCCTGGCACAGGTTGCCCAGAGAAGCTGTGGCTGCCCCTGGATCCCTGGAAGTGTCCAAGGCCAGGTTGGATGGGGCTTGGAGCAACCTGGGCTAGTGGAAGGTGTCCCTGCCCATGGCAGGGGGTGGAATGAGATGATCTTAAAGGTCCCTTCCCATCCAAACCATTCCAAGATTCCATGATATTCTATATAAAAGAATCATATCTTTTATAAAAGAATCATAAAAGATATGATTCTTCTTCAATTTATTGAAGTGGGATAAAATTGAGTGGGATAAAAAAATTGGATTTGCTGGAAGTCTGTGCTGATATTTCTTCCTATCAACCCTCCCAGGATGGAGCAGGGTCAGATAAAAAGGACAGTCCTCTTAATCACCTTAATTTACCTTTTAAGCCCTTCTGTTCTATGTGGTGCCTCCAACATTGACCCAGGAGCCCTGATGGTGATCCTTTGTCTGCTGAGAGTGTCATTTCCATTCTGACTGTCCTTAATCTGTCCAAAGTGAGTCAGTTAGTTTGCCTTCCCAGGCTGAAGAGTTAAGTTGGTTCTTGTTACCAAAATGCAGTGGCGGAAGGTGGTTTCTGTGTTCTCCTGTGGCAGATGAGGAGGGTGAGGTTTTAGTTTAGGGACAGGCTGCTCTCCCACCCCTGTGCTGGGATGAAGAGCTAATAGGGGTCATCTTAGGGCTGATGATCCCAAACCTAAGTTTGGGATCCAAGAAGTCCCAGTCCCCAATATCTACTCAGTTTGGTCTCAAGGTGTTGGCAGTGGGATCCTTAAAGCAAACACCTGGTCAGCCCATCATTGTGGCTCAGCAGCTAAAAATTCACCAGCCATGACCAAAAACTCAAATTACAGAACAACAAAAAAAAATGAAAGAATTAAAAAAATCCATCATTTTGCAGAGCTGAACACGGAGTGAATGACCAATGTCTCAGTGGAGCTCTCAGGGGAGAGAGATACTGCTAAACAATTGCTAAATATAAGGAATACTTTGATAACTTAAGCAGTTTAAAGCATAACAAAGTTATTCTATCATGTGCCATTTAATTAAGTGCTGGGTTTTCACATTCATTATACATCAAGCTGACAATTTAAATCCTTTAATCCAACACAGGCAGCTATTTAGTCTCTGTTCATTGTAATTCACAGCTCTACTTCTGTCTTAATTTGTGTGGCCTGCCCAGGGTGATGAACATCCTCCTCTGATGCTGGTTCCTCTAAGTAGCTTCAAATCTGCTCATTATGTACCTGGCAGTTTCTTCTGGAATTTGAATGCTTTTCACCTCCAGTTCAGAGGGAAAGCATTTCATCTTTTCTCCCCCATGAGGGAGAAGCTGCTTACAGTGTCCTCATATCCCTGGTGCCAAGGACCAATGTGTAATTTTAAAGTTTAATAATACTGGGATGAGCCTTCAAGCATTCCTTCAGCTGCTTATTCCTTGTTTTCCTTCTTTCCCTTCATGTTGTGTGTTTAACACACCCACACCAACTCACGTTATCGTTTCCTTGCCTTTTTTTTGTCTCTCCTCTCCCCCATCCTCCCCATCCTTGGCATTCCACAGGTTTTCTCTTCCAGTTTTGCCCTTCTCCATATTGATACTGCTTCAACCCCATCTTTTATGTCTCCATATCTCTATTTTTCTGTTCACCTGCGGGGTCACCTCGTTACCAAAGTGGCAGTCAGTGAGTGTGACTCCCTGACACGGGCACTGAGCTGATATTTAACTTTTGCTGGTTATTTGATTTGCTGCTTTCCCCTGCCTGGTGAGGAGCAGGGGGGTCAGGGAAAGGGGGGAACAAAGGAGCAGGTGCTTCAGAGGAGGAACTCACCCCTTCCTCCTGCTTCCCAGAACAGAAGGTGTGCGCTGAGGCCGAACCAGCACTGGCAGCTCCTCTGCTCTGGTGCTGCTTTTCCCTCAGTTGGCACAGTGGAATTGTTGGAAGGAGGCAGCAAAAGCCTTTGTTTTCACTAGGATTTCGCCTTGAAGCCTTCCCAAACCTGCCTGTTGGTGGCTGATGTTTCAGCAGAGCCTTTTTTTTGTGGGTTGGGGCACCCTTTTGCCGTAATCCCCCCTGAACAGCTTGGGAAGATTACCCAGAGCCTGGAGGATTTCTGGTCACTGCTGAGGAGGGGAGTGTCAAACAAAAGCTGGGTGGATTTTGTAGACAAAACCTGGAGCTTCCAGAGTCTCTGTTTCCTTTGCAGTGTGTTTTCTCTTGCACCATGTACAGAGTCGTTTGTCTTTTATCCTCCCGAGACGTGTACAGTGCATTAATCTACTGAAGCTGCTTAATAATATGTGTGACCTGCACATCTGTTAATTGGGAAACCCTCTTGTTATGTTTGTAGAAGGTTTTTAAGTGGAACCATTTCCAGAGGAAGATGATGCAGGCCCATGTTGACATTTAGCAGCACCCCCAAGCTCCTCTCACTCCCACCTGAGGATTGCAGGGTTTGGATGATCTCAGAGGGCTTTTCCAGCCTGATTGATTCTAAATGGGTGTGATGGGACTGGCTTTCTGGTGCACTCCCCTCTCAACCAGACTTTCTCATGGATGTGGAGCTGCTGGAGAGAGTCCAGAGGAGGCCACAGAGCTGCTCCAA